TGCAATCTTATTGTTATGTTAACTTTTCCTTTTCGCTTTTGATTTTTTTTGTTAAGTTAACTTTTTTACTTATGTTCACTTAGATCGGCAAATTGTGGAGATAAGAAAACTAGGACTTGTATATATATTCTGAGGACCTTGTTGAAAAAAACCACAAGAAAAAAAGATAGCAAGAACAAGTTTTGGTGTGGTGAATACAACATGGAGTTCGGTCTTCCAATGATAATCACAACTTGTGTATTGTTAGGCATTGTGATTGTCTCCGTCATCTTGGTTTGTTTTTGGACTTTATGTGGCCGCAAACAAAAACCAGAAGACTCCAATTTTGTTTGATGTCACATCGACATTGTTGTTCCATCTCACAATTATGTTATTTTTTTGTTTTGTTTTTTTTTTTATTCCCTAGATTTAATGATATTGTAAATACTCGCTCAATACTGTATATAACAAGAATAACTTCTGGAACTTGTTGCCGTGTGCCAAACGTCCAATAAGGTTGTCACTCCCACCAGAATCAATTGAACAAACCTTATAAGAAATATTTCATTAGATTGTTCATTTTTAAAACCTAGTATGAGCGATTGTTTATTTTACTCTCTCACCTCCGATACATCGCATGGAAAACCTTGAGAAACTATGCAAAATGGGACAATTATACTATATTATTTATATTATATAACAAAAACTTGTGTACAATATCTCTAAATGTGATTGGTATGCCTATCACATTTATTTGCATCTTGAATTCTTAATTCTTGTTATGTTAACTTTTCTTTTAAATTTTTTTTTTTTTTTTTTATTGTTATATTAACTTTTTTGGTTATGTTAACTTTGATTGCTAAGTTGTGGAGATAAGGCAATTAAAACTTGTGAATATACTCCTCCTATGAGATCAATATATAAAGTAATTATTTTTGTCTATCAACTTTGTTAAGGAGAGACGAGAAAAAAAGTTAGAGAGAACAAGTTTGGCTGTTTGGGGCCGGGGTGGTGAAAAAACGATATGCCGGTTCATTTGGGTCTTCCAAGTATAATCCTAATTTCCGCAATTTTCATCATTATGTTTGTCATACTTATCGTGGTTTGTTTTTCGCTTTATTGTGCCGCCGACCAAACACGTATTGAACCCGTGACTAATTCGTAACTATCTCTATTATTACGTATCAACTATTTTTAATTTAGGATGAAGATTTCGGTTAGTAGCCTATATAATAGCAATACTCATATAATTTATTTCGCCATTTATCAGTTATGTTTTTCTTTTTAATCATATTGTTACCACATTCTACATATTTAAATGATGTTGTTTCAATAATTTTATTATTTGTATTTTGAAATCTAGAGAGTTTTTTCCATCTATCCTTTCAATCGCAGAATAATTTGTTCAGAAATTTGTCTTGTCAAATATTTCACACACAACAAAATCAATCGAAAAAAAAACTTCTTATTGCTTGAATCTGATTAATGGCGTGAGCTTGGTTTTCTATTACTAATTGACAAATTAGTTACTTTAATATAATTACTATGAAAAAGCAAAACTAACCTGCCGTTACAGAGAGACAAAGAGAGTTGTCTTAGATTTTGACCAAAGCCAACGGCTCATTTTCTAAAAAAGCCCGTAACGTATCTTCTTCTCCGAGTGTTGGCATAATTTCAAAAATCCAATTCTAATCTTAAAAGGACAGTGACGAATCCTCTCCGGCGATTTTGAAGAAACTCGAAAAAGTTATGGAGGAGAAAACCAGCGGACCTAAGCAAAATCAGCCATCAACACCGGCTCCTCCGCCTTCAACGCGGCGGCCAAGAGTTAGAGAAGTAAGATCTAGATTCATGTCTCCGGTTACTTCATATTCTTCTTCTACCTCTTCCTCTGCCGGCGATCTCCACTTTTTGACGTCGAATTCTCCAGAGTACCACCACCTTCAACATCAACACCACCAGATTCAACGCTCTGTTTCGGCTCAAAGGCTTAGACGTCAGTTAAAAATGGCAGACGGAGATGAGAATCGCTCATCAGAGACGGCGGCGCGTAGCCTAGACTCGCCTTTTACACTCTGGCAAAGCGGAAAAACATCGAGACAAAGTCACTTGAAGCCGCTTAAGGAGAATTCTCACCGGCTCGAAACTCCTACACCAATTGTTCCTCCGCCGTCTAGATCACGGCTAAGTCAACAACGATTACTAACAGCTTCCGCCGCAACGAGACTTCTCCAATCAAGCGGCATATCAGCCTCTAATGAGAAAGAAGGAATCATCAACACTCAAGAGAAACCTAAATATAACGGCTCAGATCATTTTCCGACACTTTCTTGTACAACTCATCCTAAAGTTTTCAATAATTCGGTGCCTTCTTCTTCTCTTAATCCATTTGTGAGTTCACCATTGTCCAACTGTAACGGTCGTGAGAGCAGTTCATTTTCACGGTTAGGCTTGGCATTGCCTCCGGTGGCACCGAATTCGAAGGTTCCAGCTGATACTAAAAAGCAGAGGAAGGTTTCAGAGCAATTGGAAGATGTGCATTCTCTGAAACTACTCCACAATCGTTACCTCCAATGGAGATTTGCAAACGCCAATGCACAAGTGAAGACTCAAACTCAAAAAGCTCAAACTGAGGTCAGTTTCTCTGATGGCCTGCTTTTATGGTAAAAAAATTTGAACTAAGAAGATTACGTTTATGTTTAATGGTGTTTTGTTTATCTTGTAGACCATGATCCATTCCTTTGGTTCCAAGATATCAGAATTACATGATTCTGTGCAAAGGAAACGCATAGAGTTTCAACGTTTATTGAAAACTAAAGCTCTTCTTGCGATTACAGAATCTCAAGTAAGCTTAGAGATACTTTTAACTTACACATTATTGACTCTCACATAAACATATGAGACTTACGAGAAAATCTTTTCACATTATTACAGACTCCATGTTTGGAGCAATGGTGTGCTATTGAAGAAGAGTATTCGACTTCGGTGTGGCAAACAATCCAAGCTTTGTCCAATGCTTCATTACGGCTTCCACTAGATGGGGATATCATGGTATTATACACATCTTGTATTCAGTAATATATATCAACTAGGAAGAGTCATCTTCATGTATCAACTTAGAATTTTGCTTGTCAAAAACCAGGTTGATTCTAAGCAGTTAGGAGATGCACTTGTGGCTGCTTCAAAGATTATTGACGGCATTACACTAAATGTTGGAAACTACATGCCAAAGGTTAGTAGAATAGTATTAATCTCGGGGTTTATTTTGGTTCAAGATTTTTTGTTTATAATATACGTATACTAAGACTAAAGGTGTTAAATTCCCTTGCTGATACATAATTTTGCAGGCAAAGGAGATGGAGAGTTTGGTGACAGAATTAGCAAGAGTGACTAGTAGAGAAAGATCATTGACAGAAAATTGCAGAGTGGCTCTTCTTAAAACGCAAGCTTCACTAGTACAAAACCTTTCTTTTACATATATCATCTTCGTTTGTTTTTGCCTTGTATAAGAGATATAAAAGATCTTCTTTTTATGTTTTGCAGATTGAAGAATGTTCTATGAGAGGTCAACTTATCCAGCAAACACCAAAAGAAGAGTCACCTACTAAGTGAACACAACTCTTGTTCTAGTGATAGAGATTTAATCGAATGGCTGTAGCATTATTAAAAGACTTTTGACAATAAATATCGTTCTATATATTGCTCAAGCATATGAATCTCCAAAGGATAGAAAAGATAACGAAGTCACATTGATCAAGAAAACAGAAAACACAGTAATTAAAGAAGAAAGAAAAACTAAAGAATCATTCAAAAGCCCATTGATTCTGCTGACGAATCTCCTCTTCTTCCTCCGGTGTAAAATCGTTCCTGATGCCAAAAAGTGCACGAATCTCGTCTGTATTCTTATCAGTGATCGTGTCAGCAACAGTTTGGCAACCAAGATCAAACAAATCTTTAATGTTTAGGTAATTCGCAGCCAAAATAACATGAAAAAGAGTCGACTGTTCCATCGCCTTCATGAATTCTGCGTCCCACTTCTTGAGTTCGTCCCACTCCTCGGTTAGTGATTCAGCAGCAACTACGTGTTTCTTGCAATACTCGATCACCTTCGAGAGGGTGGCTCCTGTGACGTTTGAGACAGGGATTCCATCACCGACGCAATCGTCTTCAACCATGTGTGCTATCGTCTGCGACTGGACCGCGACTGCTTCTTCTACCTGAAAAGATTCACCATCGGAGCTCTGCAACATAACCATCTTCGACATCGTTTCGTTCTTTTTTGTGGTGGCGATTTTTCTTTGGAAGGTTTTTGATGATGGAGAGATATCATCAAAAGGTGTGTATTTATAGAGAGTCCTAATTGTTAGAGTCGGTGTGATTCTTGAATCCTTTCAAAATTTGGAAAATTGAAATTGTTTGTGTCGAAAAGGAAAATTATTAATTTAGCCTAAATGGAAAATTCTGTTGAGTAAACCAATCCTAAACCGGTTCCTTGATGGATCTAGGCTCAATTGATCTAATTTCGGTACAAAAAGGAAATCAGATCCGAATCTACGTGTCATAATGAACGGCTCTGATACAATACAATTATGGTCACGTGACGTCATTGGCGTCCGCCGTCCGATGTGAATAGTCACGTGAGTTATTATCTGTCCCCTCTTGACGTAACCAAATTTTAATACCATAATGATTGCATTTTGCGCCTCCTATTGAATCATCACCTTTTTTCTTCTTCATTAATTCCACCAAATTGTTTCTTTCTTAGAAAGTTAGACTCGAGTTTTTATATAATTGTAAACTTGAGTAGAGATTATATAGGCTAAATCAATTTGATGATAATCTCAAAAGTAACAGACGTTTACCATATTCTTAATAGAAAATGAAAAGAAAACCCCTGTTTTGTCGCAAAGTGAACAACAACTTTACACAGTAAAAACTTTTTAGAATGTTCTATTTTAGAATGTTCAATCTTCACAATTTACATCGGTTAGTTATGATACAAGTGTATAAACCAAAATAACCGAGTTCAATATCGAAATAAAGTGTCATGTACTCTGTTTCGGATTAGAAAACTCAATTACAGTAAGAAAAACGAGAAAAAGATTTGACTTCAGCATATATTCAAGAATTGCTTAAGAAGAATTTTGACAACATCGATCTTAAGATTTGGTTAAACGTACCAAAATCCAACAAACGATTCGTCTCTAAAGCAAAGATAATGATTACTTACACATCAAGAAATCAAAAGAAACACACCGAACAAACAAGAAATAGATCAAGAAACTGAAAACACACACTAAAGAAGAAAGATATAGACGAAGTCATCATCAGCTACCATTGCATCAAGAACTTTGATGATCCGCTCTCTCATTCAAAAGCCCACTGATTCTCCTTACGAATCTCAGCTACTTCCGCTGGTGTTAAATCGTTCTCGATGTTGAAGCGTGTGCGAATCTCAGCTGGAGTTTTTCCTGAGAGCAAATCAGCCTGGAGCAAAGCAGCGACTGTTTGACATGTGAGATCAAGAAGGCTTGGGATATTGAGATAATTCGCAGCAATCATAACATCAAAGAGAATGGATGGTTCGATCTTCTTCATGAAATCAGCGTCCCACTCCTTGAGATCTTCTTCTTCGTTGCTCTCGACGTGCTTCTTGCAATACGCGATCACAATCTTGAGGATCTTACTTGTGACGTTTGGAAGCGGGATTCCATTATCGGCGCATTCGTCCTCAGCCATATTATTTATCGTCACTGATTTGCGTGCCACGGCTTCGTCGACCTCGAACGATTTACCATCGGAGCTCTTCAACACGATCATCTTCTTCGACATTGTTAATGGGGCGAGTTTTCTCTGGAAGCAAATTTGATCAAAGAAGATTGAAGAAGAGCTATTAAAGAAAAATGAAGTAACGAACTTATGAATCTATGCGTCTTGTATTTATAAGCTCTAATTGTCAGAGTCGGTGGGATCAACATTTTTCAGAAATATGTAATTTCATTTTCAGTGGAGTAAACCAAGCTGAACCGGGTTGAATTTAAGATTGGCCCAATTTTGTAGGTTCGGCCCAATACTTGATCAGATTGGTCACAAAGAGAAAAAAAAAAGAAAGGAAAGGAATTGGTTGGTGTTTTTATGTGATTTGTTGTGATTCTCCCTTAAAGATCAAAGAGAGAGAAAAAAAATGTGACAAACACACAATTATGCAAAAACATACACACATATTCGGGGTTTGCCATCAAAATAAGCTACATACATGTAATCATGTAAAGATACATAATATAGATTCTCGTAAAAATAACTTAAAAGTTACATTAAAAAAACACACTAATAGATTTCACAACAACACATCTTCAATTAAGAAGATTCTTCTTCAATGTATAGAGAGGACCTTTACTAGCTTGTTCCATATTCAAGTAATTCCCACCTGAACGGCTGAAAGACATATAGCACTTCCGGGCAACTCTTGAACAAAAGGGCGACACAAACGCAAACCGCTGCTATCGCTACCATCGAAAGCATCGCTGGCCTGTAGGCAAGAGACTTGTGTTGCGTGGTGACAAACACACGTTTGTGATCACAGAGCTTACATTGGTTTATCTGACTTATCGACAAGCTTGAAGAATCCATTAGACTCCTCTTTTCTTGTTTGTGCTCAATGTTGAAAGACTCAGGAATGTTGACCACCACGTGTTCTTCGGCGGTTGGTTTCCGATTGAGTTTCCGTTGCACCAGATGAATATATGAGAAGTGACCTCGTAAACGTGCGTAGTCTTCTGGTGTGAATCCGGTATTGTCCTGGGAAATCTTCCAAGCTTGAATACCAATCTGAACCAAACAAGAAGTTTTTTTTATCAGACAAAAACAGATTTTGAGTGTACAGAAGTTGAAGAGGGAAATCAAATTCAAACCCACCATTTCGGGATCCTCAGTAAGAGCATCCAACACATCTTCTGACCCGTCTTTACCAGCTGCAATGTGAAGCGGTGTTAAACCGCCTGGACCAGCTGCATCGGGTCTAAACAAACCGGATGATGTCTGGTTCTTCTTCTTGGGAATGAATCTTAGAAGCATCTCAACCATGGGTTTTGAATTTTTCCTTACGGCTCTGTGAAGAAGACACAGTTCTGATAACGCAGCATCAGGAGATGGATCAACAGTGCCTTCTTCGAATAGTATATTTAATAGCTTCTTGATCACAGCATACCATTCCCGGTCCATTGAGTACTCTACTAGAAACTTAAACCGTATTAAAGGAAACAGATCCTCTGGATTATGATCTGATGCTGCAAGTCTTGACTTGAGTTCACTTCTGTGAAGAAGCCAACCGATTTCGTGGATGAAATCCATTGCTTGCATTGCAGAATCAGTACCGGTAAACTCTAATGTGCTTTCGAGTCTTCGGATTTCAGAACAAACATCTTCGTCCTCAGATACTATGAAAGGGAAATAACTACTGCTTAGCCCGCCTTGATCTTCAATCTAGATTATTGTCAAGCAAAACATTGCCTTTAGATCTCAATGCAACAAGAGAAAAAGCAGAACATGAATTTGAAAGTACACTTACTTCCATGAAACCTCGACCACTTGCAATAGGCATCTCACAGGAAAATTTGACAAAATCAATCTCATTATTCACCCTAAGATCATCTCTCTCTTCCATCACTCCTTGTGTTGCTTCCTGAACCAAGTATGTTCCTTCTACAGCACAAAGTAACCTGTAGAAATGGCGATTAGCATCAGCGGAAAATATAGGGAGGGTCAAGCTTCAAAGAGTATATATACATACCTTGTGCCATGTCGACGGAGATTGATGCCTTTTACTGTAAATTGAGCTTTCCTTGTTACAGCAAGCGGTCTAACAGTAATAATTTGGCTATAATCATGGCTTCTCAGAGGTAAAGATGTGTCAAGAACAACCTGACCTGTAGCACGAAATAAGAAGAATACTCAAATCTCAAGAAAAAATAAGGACACTGTAACATAAATCCAAAGATTCTCAACACTAACCATCAAACGCAAATGCGAGTTGGTTTTGCACCCTAAGATAAATCCACCCATCAGTCCATAAAGGATCATCTGAGAGATCTAGAAGCCTCCTCAAGCTGAAACTCAGATCACAACAAAGCTGCCAGAAAAAAGTAACGGGAAGTGATTCCATGAGACAGATGATAATTTGGGAAGACCAGAGAAAGAGGTGACAAAGTGATTCTTACTTCTTCCCAAGAAGCTTCATCTTGACGAAGATAAATGGTCAAAACGATACAACCAGGTCTAATATAGCTCTCCATGTCAGTTGGAGTATGAGCTAACCAGTTAAAAATCTGAAAATTCGAATATTAGAACACATCAATATCACTTTCCAAATCACACAGTGATGCAACTGTAGAAGTTACATACCTGTCCTCGTAAGGCAACTGGAAAATCATTCGGCTCTTTCCCAAATAGTTTGAACACAATCCGGTCAGTACGGCTCTGAATATGCAACCAAAACGTAACAAGAAACGTTACAGTGAATTATATATAAGCAACGAAAAATGAATGGATGAAAGGTGAGATTTATACCTGAGCATCTCCACCGGAACTTGAAGGTGATTGGTCAGAAGCTGAATCTGAATTCCTCCTACTAGTTTGAGGTGGACTAGACTGACGCGAGTCTTGATGATAATCAAGAGAACTAGTTGCTGGATTTGTGGGAGGAGCTGATGATCTCTCTATATCTGTAGTATCATCTGAGTCTATGTAGATATCATTCAAATCAAAATCATTCATTTTGACTTGTTTCTCCGGCCTATCCGGGGCAGCTGTCTCTTGAGCACCATTGGCAAACACTTCTTGCCAATGTGTTTCAGGCACTGAATGATGCTTTATATTCTCTCGAGGGGCTTGCTCGAGTGAAAGCAAATCCGACGAGTTTCCAATATTTTGAGAAGCCTGGACTCCTCCTCCACCCTGTAGAAGCCCAACTAAATTCTTCCCTATATGTTCACCAGCTTGGCTTACAAGACTCTTTAGAAGTTGAGACAACAGATCCTGATCACCCGTTTGATCTGATTGATTCGCTGCAAACCAAACACGAAACAGAACACAGAATAACAGCTGGTTTCAGCGTTCTTCTAGGACTAAAACTCGAATGTCCAAATGAAACTTTCATGAAGAACTTACAATGTAAATTGGAGAGTATCTTCAAGAGAGTAATCAACAGATAATTGCTTGTTTGACCATCACTCAAAGGATTCCCATTGCCTATAGTATCAGGATTTGCTTTCCTTCTACGCTTATTATGCCCAGCCAAACGTCTACGACAACTTCTCTTTCCTTCATCAAACTCTTCAAGCACATGAAACCTGCAGACAATTATTTTTTACTATAGGATTAAACCAAATCGCATTACTGACACCGGGGCATAAGACCCAATACTAAAGTTGAATCCTTTTCTAAACCTTACCTACTACACTGCTGACAAAACCTCTGCATAATTCCTCCAACAAGTGCACTAGTAGCTTTAGAATGCATCTCACAAACCTTATGACGTCTATGATAATCCTTAACCTTGCTTAAATCAACTCCACAGTTCTCCACCTGACAAGAAATCGCCCGACTCGGAATCCCTCCTCCAAGTTTCGTCTTTTTCGCACCATTTCCCTCAATATTACCACCAAGATTCAAAGTAAGTCTATGAGCATCATCATCACCATCCCTCAAGTTATCTTCTTCCATTGCTATCACAGTAACAGCTCCTCTTTTCTTCTTCTTCTCCATGATTTCGACAATTGCTTCATCAGAACACGTAGAAGAACTGTTCGATGAGCCATGATTCAACTGTGTAGCAACGAATAGATCACCATTCCATTTCCAATCATTCAAATCCCACTCTACACTCCTTTTACCACTAAACCCATATTCTAAACTGTGACCTTCTTCTTCACCTTCAATTCTAGCTTCCATCACAAACTCGATTACAAGAAGAGAACTGAAATTGGAGAAATCAAAATCAAACCCAATTCATAACTTAAAGATCGGAGCTTGAAGAAAAGACTCAGACACATGCCTTTGTCCAAAATCAAGTCCCTTTCTCTATCGGAAGAAACCTAATTCCTCTTTTTTTAAATGAAAATCCAAGCAGACAAAACTGACTTATAACTAACTATAAAGGAATTAAAAAAAAATATTCTCCCCAAAAAAAACAGCTGGCAACACCTGGAATCAGAAAAAGCACGGTCACCGGAGATAAAGAAAATTTCCCGCCGTTAACGGTAACGGAACATGAAGTGACGGAGATAAAACGATGATTAAAGAGAAGGAGAAGCGTTTGTAGCGTGAAGGATATGGTTTTATGGTTATGAATGATGCTAGTACCAAAAAAAAAAAAAAGTTAGATTTAAAGCATCTTCATTTCGACACAGAGAGAGAAACTGAGAGAAGACGAAGAAACATTTTATTTTTTTAATTTTACAAGAAAAACATTGTTATGTAAAGAAAAACTAGGGGAGGTCCCCGCGCCCAGCGCGGGGTTGTATGTTGATTAAGACCAGAATTAATAATTAATATTTAGGGTTATCAAGTTAGGGATATTTATTGAATTAATTTTGTCAAGAGTCTAATTTTTATAACGACATTAATATAGAATTATGGTAAAACGCTATAACTTTTGATATATATTATTAGTAATCAACAATTAATAGTGTTTTTGAATCACAAACAATTATTAGTGTTTATATCTTGATATATATAATAGAATTAAATATAAAAAATCTATATATTTAAACCAACAATATATTAGCAACGCCCCGACCGCCAGTGTCCATGGGTTCCCACGTCCAGTCTCGGTCTTTAGGCCCATCTTCTTTGTTTTGTCGTACTCTTGATTTTATGACATATTCATGCTTACTTGTTTCTTTCATATTAGCAACGCCCCGACCGCCACTGTCCGTGGGCTCCCCACGTCCAGTTTCGGTCTTTAGGCCCATCTTCTTTGTTTTGTCGTACTCTTGATTTTATGACATATTCATGCTTACTCGTTTCTTTCATATTTGTAATGCCACGACCGCCACTGTCTGTGGGTTCCCACGTCCAGTTTCGTTCTTTGAGCACATCTTCTTGGTTTTGTAGTACTCTTGGTTTTATGACATATTCACGCTTCCTCGTTTCTTTCATATTTGTAACGCTCCGACCGCCACTGTCCGTGGGTTCCCCACGTCCAGTTTCAGACTTTAATTTGGGCCCATCTTCCTGGTTTTTGTTGTATTCTTGATTTTATGACATATTCATGCTTTTAGATTGTATGTCACTGGAGTTTTTCGTAGTTGGAAACAAATAATTGAAAAATATAATCTCTTACCATATCTCTTACCTATCAAGGAAGTCATCTTGCTCTTTGAAGTAGTTATGTACGTAAAATTTCAATGGTATAGAAACAGGCATCTCCTTTGTATATATCGTGTCATATTTATCGTCCCTATTGTAGTATCTTTGTCTCTACCTTCGCCACTGGTCGCTGCGTAACCCTTCAGTTGATCTCTTGTTTATAAAACCCATATAAAAAGTTGTAAGAGAAATATCATTTTCTTAACTGTATCGTATATGTATTTGTAGTATATTGATCTGAGATTGCAAAGATGTATGCCTATCAAGAAGCTCTTAGCAAAGTAAACACTGAAGATAGGTATTAATAATGAGAGGGTTACAGAGAGCAAGTATCTATCCATTAGAAACCACTATGTGCAACTGAGAATAATTCATATATGTACATACATACACATGTATACAACGTATTGAAGCTTTTAAATTTAAATATCGAATGCTACAAAACTGGAAAATTGCTTGTGGAGAAAGCAATATGAACATGGCCACATATATAACAAATAACCGATTATGCTTGTCGTAGATCATTCTCTTTCAAACCAAAAGTTTTACCTAAACAACATATCAAGTGACTCACAAGAGATACATAAGAGCCATATCCTAAAAATATCCGGCAAAGCAAAAACGCTCCAGGTTCGAGAAGGAAGTCATTGGAAAATTTGAGTATATACCAAACTGGAGAGTAATTCGGCTACAAAGAGAGATGTGTTGGCTTTGAAGAAAAAGCTATGTGATGCTCTACCTTTTATTTATGAATTTTATGCTATGAATATATGTTTTTGTTAGGGTTCAACTTCAGTCTCCGGATTAGAGACTTATATTCATCCGACAAACAATTCGATGTCACAATCAACGCTACAAAATTGGTGGGTTCTCTCTATTAACAAACAAAAAAAAATTATGGGGTATATATATTTTTTTTTGTTTTGTTAGATCCATACGACGAAGAATATGACGAAGAACACCAAAAATTCTCATCAATCCGGTACGTTTGATCTTATTTTTATTAGTTTAACAATTACGGTTATGTCCGAATCTGAAATAACCATGGCTCCAGACTCCTTCACACCATGGCCACATATCACCGGAGTGGAGACGATTTCAAATTTGGAGCTTCTCTTCGCATATAAAATCATACATATGGTCTCTTTGTTTCGGGTTCCCTCTACAATAATTAGTACATATTTCAAAACTGAGCTACAAAAGAGCACATTGGATTTTGGTAAACATCAAGATTGCTTCCTACCTTCCAAGAAACATGATAGACTAATTCACATCCAAGACCAAACATTAGCCACATAAAGCCTGAATCAAATTAAACGATCTTAGGATGCTCTTCATAATCCGTAAGTTAAAGAGACTTGCATTAATATTGCAAATTAGACTCTAGAGGTCCACAATGGTTAATCAGAGTGTATCAAAGACGACGAATAAAGCATGAATTAGAATATCAGCAGAGAAAGCACACAAATATTCAATAAACGTAATCAATCACTGAGAATAGCATGGACCCAACTTTTGAAAGATTCATAAAAAAGGAAGATTTTTCCTATGCAACAATATTCAAACAATGAGAAGATCAATGATTGATGACTAACCATACAACCGAAGCAAAGCCATAAACAGAAACGAAAGTACTAAAGAGCCACAACAGCAGTGATACGACATTTGTTTCCTCGCACTGGAAACAATGACGTGCTTCCATAAATCCAATCTAGTTTTTATGGAAAACAAACCTGCATTCATAATAAACACTACTATTAATTATTATTTTTTATGCAAGAATTAAATGGCAGTATAAAAAATTCAATGGTTAGTGCCGAAAAAAAAAGCAAGGATTAGTTATGATATCAAATCAAAATTAAATATCAAGCAAGGTATTTACATAAAATTAAGGCAGTGGAGGATCTAAGAATTTTTTATATGACAATATCTACAACTAAACAAACAAAATTTATATATTTTTAAAACAGAATCATTATTTGTTTTTTGGTAAGATTAAAACCGAATCATTATCATATTAGTAAAATTATCATTTATTTATTATTATCCACGTTAATTTAAAAGTTTAAGAGAATATCTGCTTTTTCTCATAAAAGGATGGAATAATAACATAACTCTTTTAGATTTATAACTATATTTGACATTATCATATTAAATCTATTAAGATAAATATATTTCTTTTTGAAAAATATAAATAAAATGATAATATAATTATTATAGATTTAAAATTATATTATTATCCATGTCAAAATTTTAAAACATTTTACTTTTTTCTCACATAGGAAGATAGAACAATAACGTAACAGTTTAAGATTTACAACATAAAAATAATATCAGAATTGGAACGCCAAATCATAATCAACACAATTAACACAACTCTAATGGGAAATTAGAGTTATCTTGTGATTAAAATACTAAACAAACAAAACTAACCGAAACAAAACAAAAGTCTTCCTTTCAAAATCATTAACGTGACGGATTGCTGACTGATTAAGTTGAAGTTTTAGGCATTTAAAGATCTAGAAAGATGATTAAGGTTAAACATTTTTATTTATTTTAAACAACGTTTGAATGTTGACAAAAAAAGAAGAAGAGAGTGTTGGGACCATCGGGAGAGACAACGTTGAGCAGCTGCGAAAGAAGCCAACGTTGTCTATTATGTTCCTCACAGTGTTTGATTTGACTTTTGATGACATTACACTCCTGTCCACTTGTTGTCTCGAAAGTTCATGCAATGGAAAATTATTAAACAAAACAATTTACTTTTATGTATAAATCCTAGGGAAGAACCGATCAAGCTAAGATCAATGGTTGTGGTTTTAGTACCGTATACTTCTCAAATATACCCGTTGAATAACGGAAATCCGCAAGACGGGGAGGAGACGAAGTCAACCTAGCTGGCAAAGGAGCTAACCCAGCTCCTTTGGTCTTATTTATGGTCATATGTATTTAGCAAAATATGGTATACAAACCGAACCAATCAACAACAAAACCTGGTTTTAAATTGTTGTATATTTCTCAAAAGTCAAAACCCATAATAACCAATGGAACAGAAGAAGCTAATGCAGAGCATACTTACGCTTGGAGTAAAGAGTGATGCAAGCTTCCATTGGCACACCCGAAAACGCATCAGAGCATGGAAAGAAACCTAAAAACCAATAAATTAAAAAATAATTAAATCTTAGTGCATGGAAAACGAATCCTATACATACCAAAGTCCGAATCTCAATGCCTTAGAATGACCTCGATACCAAAAACTTTAAGTTACTACTTCCATATATGTAATATTTTAGTTTGGGGAGAGAGATTGGCAACGAAGAGTAATTCCTGAATTTAACAGCCAAGTTTGTTATCCCTAATCTAAATAGAGGAATACTTAAATTGTATTAACGACAAAAATTAGCCTCCTCTGAAGATTCATCCCTGAAATAAGTCATCTTTCTGACTTTGTGGCAACTGTGTTATCAAAAGTTGAGTGTTTCTTCTGAAAAAAGACATATTTGAAAATAATAAGAACATGTACCTCAACAAAATCGGGAGGTACCTCATCTTTTTACAACAAAAAGAAACATACCAAACCATCGATGATTACCTTCTCAAAAGTTGAAACCAAACTTTTTGATTATAAAAATTGATTAGTGGTGAAAATAGTGAAACCATAAATACAAAAAAAAAAAAATCAAATTTGTACATATAAACTATAAGATCACCTGTTTATTCATTGAATTAGGTCCAAATTTTCCATACACCAGTTCACATCGTCCCCTCCATACATCCACCCTACAATAAAAAGAAAAATTAAAATTAGGTAGAAGCAAAAAAAAGTTTGAAAAAAAAGAACAAAAAAAACAAGGGTTAGTTATGATCTGAAATTGAATACAAAAATATTTGTAAAACTGCCATTTATTCATTGTTATCCATGTTTATTTAAAATAATATTTACTTTTTTCCGTAAAAATATGAAATAATAACAACTATTTTAGATTTACTACTATATCTGATACTATCTTATAAAATATATTAAAATTTAAGGGAAAATTCCTTTCTGTTTCAAAA